TGGATTTCTCAGAGGAATGTTAAATGCAGTTGATGATGTGATGAAATTGACACAGCAAAACATGTTTTATAAACAATTAATTATTTTTGGATGTGGCTGTACATAAATATTTCAGGAAGGAATAACTTGCTCACTGTCTATTGCCTATGATAGTTTCCTTTTGTCAAGTTTATTCCCACCAAAGGAACAAATTTTTCCTAGTATTTTGTAAGTGTGGATTGTAGAAGAAGAATTTTTTATTACAAGTGTTATGAGTGCTCTTCAAATTTTTCTGATGTTTTTGTCACTAGATTTGCACCTAAAACTATTTTTCTATGTTTTTCTTCTGTAAATATTCATACTTATTATGTATTTGTATAATGAATGCCAAAATAATTAATTTCCTCAACCTGTAAAATGAAGTGACACATCACACACTTGAAATATGTGCTTGAAACACTTTTTGAGTAGTAATAGATTTTTGATCTTTCTTCACAGAGCAATAGTAGAAGCAAAGGTTCTATATTTCTGACATTGCTTATTTTGATCAGTAGATGTAGCTTTAATGTTGCTCTTGTTTTATCTCTTTGTTGCCATGGTAACTGATGTAACTTCCATCTTCCTCCAGAAAGTGGTAAGAAGTTTCAAACAGTAATTTCCTCAGTGAGGAAGAAATATAAAAGATAAATTAAAAAATTTATATCTTGTGCTATGTTTACGTGTTTTTTATTTGTTTCTTGTTGTGTGCATGCACTGTTAGGATGTTAATGTCCCTTCTTTCACTTACCTGGCATACTTTTCTTATCTGTCTGTCATTTTCTGTACATTTCTTTCTGACTTTCTTTCCGCATTTGCATTCCACAATCCACTCACATTTTAGATGTCTAAATGTCTTACAGTGTATGATCATACATTTCTTGCTTGTGTTTGAACCGCATGTAAGGCTGTATGATCATTTATGAAATGGTGCAGGATATGTTTGAACTCAAGTTAGAAGAAATGATATGCCACCTAATTGAAGGACTATTTTATGTACAAGCTGTTGTGGAAATTATCCACATATAATGTAATAGGTTTGTGGAGAAGCTGTTTGGTATGAAGAGAATTCATAATATGGCTGTAACATGAATTACATTGGTATGTTTTGTTATTCATAAGTTCAAGAGACAAATTTATGTTTTAATTGATAGTGATTAACACTGGTCTCGAGTGCAGTTACACTGGATTGTGCTCTTCCAGCAGCCCAAGGATGTAACGGCTATGCATCTCTCTAAACTCAACGGCTACAATAAAATCCCTCCATACTGTTAAATACAGTATTACTTACATCCATTATGTTTTGTTTTGTTTGGTAATAATTTCTTGTTTGATATGTGACTGGTGTGGTTCTGATTTTAAATTAAATGTTTAATAAAATTCTGTTTGTCTCTTCACACCAGGCCACTGTCTAGTAAATTAATATGATTCTAGACCATAGCTTCATGTATGGATCACCACAAATCCTGTAGTGTAAACATTTAAAATCTCACATTATTTCAGGAGTTATGCATTAATATGCAGCTATGTTTTTTATATTTGCCTTCAAATTCTTATGGGCTGTTAAACTTCATATCCTTGGGTTTTGAGTTTAAAAGTGGATGTTTTTAGGATGAAAGTTTCCATGACTAGTGGTGGTAGTTGAACAGTTTGAGGCCTGTGCCATGTGTTCTGTGGTACTTTCAATGATATGTTGTCGCAGGTCCTTGATTACTTTTACTGTATCGCGGGTATGGGATGGCTAACTTAGATCCCAGTGTGTTTTAAGTATGCATTTTTCTGTCATTAATTTACACGGGAACCACAGATGGCATGTCACTGGAGAGAATTCACTGTTTTTCAACAGACATATACACGAGTGTCTGTTAAATGAGGACAATTCCAGAACAGCTCTTGTTACTTAAAATGACTGAAATTATGTTGCAGGAAGTATGGACCTTTATGTACAGATTTCATCTTAATTTCCTGATGCTAATGCATCATCTGTTGAAGTGGTACTTTTGTAAATGAATTAAATAAGCATGCAGAGAACACAAATGATAAAATGATTTAGTTGTCATTGAAGAAAGATGAGACAGTCTAAAGACTTACAGTAAATTATTATTGTTTTTTGTTCCTATTTATTGATGATGTTAATAGCTTGAAAATTCTCAGTGAGTATACTTGTCTTCAGGCCTAGATTTGAATCCAAGACCTCCCAAATATGTTTCCTAACTACATGGCCATGATGAGCAGAGTATAACATGCATTCATCATCTTCATTTAAAGGTATAAAAAATCTTCTTGTACAGCTTCGCCCCCCCCCCCCCCCCCCCCC